GAAAGTTGATTTAAATTTTAACAGAGTGTAAACACGATCGAATCCGTCGACCAATACTACTTAAATTTCTACATTTTTACAAAACTTTTTGCGTCCCTTTCGCATCCTCTCGACAAAATTGCAAATTACAAAATACTCGCGCGGGCATCAAATTAAATTTCTTTTATTGTTTACCAATAACCGATAATCCAACCCGAAGAGTTTATATTTTTCAACAACTCTATCGGCAATTGCTCAGCGCGCTATAGAATATTATACACATTAATAAATATCGCGAGAGTTGATATTTTCATCCACGTGCTTGTCCTTCCACATCTTTCCTTGTGCGCGCACACACACAGAAAACAAGTACAATTTACGAAATGACATTCATTGAAAACTTTAATCTCGAGCCGGTGCGCGAGCTCTCACTCGGTGAGAGCAGCAGATTCGTTGGAAAATAATAATTATCGGTTCGTGTATCGATTTTGAATGCGCAGAGCTCCGACATGGGGTGAGATTGCTTGTTATTATCTCTGTCGCTCTGGCGAATATGCCTTTCATCGCGTTTTCGAGTGCTTGTATATTATTTTTCGATTATACATACAGGCAGCAGTAGAAGCATCAGCAGCGGCGATTCTTTGCTTGCTTGCGTGTGTGTGTATAGGCGCGTGTGCTGCGCAATTGAATGAAATGTAAATAAAATCGATTGACATTAATAATCAATTCCAATTGGTAGCGTACACAAACGTACACACGCGTACAAAGTATATACAATGATTATAACGATTATGACGAATATATAATGATTATAACAATGAACGTGGGTGTTTGTGCACAAGAATGGCATAGAGCCATTCTCGAATGAATCCATTCTAACAGCATACGTATACGTATGTGTGTGTTGGGTGGTAAGTGCATCATCGCTTGTTTACGCTGAAAACTTTGTAAAGTCCAAGTCTCGCGTGGAGACTGGTATATAAACTAAAAACATTTGAATTTCCAAGCCGCACTTACACACACACGTATATAGAGAGAGAAACCGAAACAAACAAAGTGCTGCTGCTGCTGCTGTACTGCACACCGGGGGGTGAAAGTCAAAAACTCACTCTCTCATACCCACACACAGCCCCCAAGTACGGCACTTTGAGTGTTATATCGTATACACAAACATTTTGTCGGGGACCAAAGGTTATCGGTCCATTTGAGTACTATGCAAATACTGCGCCTGAGAGAGAGAGAGAGAGAGAGAGAGAGGAACTGACCCTTCGAGTACGCTTACCCCCGCACTGCACACCGAGAAAGAAATGTCGTTTAAATACTCGAAGTGTGTTCGTACTGTCTGCCAGATATATATAACAGCAAGCTCAGCCTTTTAATTTAGTCAGTCGAGCGCCTTGATTATTTGCTACTACTATGATATTTTTTTCACTACTCTCGGCAACAATGATCGATAACAAATGATCGCTTTGACTCATACAGTTATTTTGACTTTGCCACTTGCAGATACACAGATTTAAAAATACTCGCCATCTAGCGGGGAAGGTTTAAGGTGATCGAAATTCTTTGTAGAAATTAAATTGTCATTTTCAAGTCATTTCAAATGCTCTCAACATCCTCAAAAACAAGCCAATCAATATTGATCCATTTACAAACGTTTAAAATAGCTATTTTTTTGCTTATTAGAGATGATGTCTACATGTAATTTGATAAAAAATCGTATTTTGATAAATACTTGTACAGTATTGTACTTTACTTGTGCAGTTAATTTGACTTTGCCACTTGCAGATACACAGATTTCAAAGTACTCGCCATCTAGCGGTAAATGCTTAAAGTATAATCGAAATTCTTTGTAGAAATTTCGAATGTCATTTTCGAACATTTAAATTGGCTATTTTTCGATCGTTAGAAATGCAAATTAATTCGTAACCAAGCGCGTTATGTCGCGCAAACAAAATTGCGTATAACATTTGAATTTCGCACGCCGCTACCATAATCTCACTTTCTCAAGAGTTACGCGTGCATACGTATCGACAAACATATTGCATTTTACATACATTACATCGCCGACGACTAGATGTGTTACGTGGCGAGCAGCGCTGCGCTGATCGATGCCTACAGTAGTAGAGCTGATTATAGCTCGGGCCCGAGCGTGCGCGCACCAGACGTTGAAAAATACACAAAAGTCCATAAGGCGCGGTAACCTCCCAAGTGTGGTTGTGTAATGTGTGTGTGTGTGTGTGTGTGTGGGTACTTAAATGAACGTTATATTTGCTCACATTCGACTGCAGCTGGCAACGAGTGTGCCAGGCGCGAGCGATAATGTGTAGTAGTAATACAACTTGTATAACACAGACACAGGGCGCCACTGAAAGAACGACCATTATTATATGAATGAAATCGTGTGTTTGCGCGCTTAAATATTCCCCTGCGCAGAAATCCGGCGGTGGTGGTGGTGCGGCATGCAGCAGCGGTTATCGAAGCTCACCCCCACCCCCTTTCTAGTACGCGACGCGACGAAACAATGAGTGAACGAAAACAAGGGACGGTAAAGGTGATTGATCGCGTCGCCGCGGGAACACGCCGTTTTTTATATCGGGGACAGCGTGTTGTACTGCAGCACGTCGACGGTGCAGGAGAGAGAGTCAATAGAAAAATCATCAATGAAAAAAAAAAGAAAAAAAATAGTGTACTCGAATTAAAGCAAACTTCATTGTAAAGCCGTGTGGGTTATGCGAGGATGAATGTGTGGGCGGCGGTAGAGAGAGAGAGTCGTTTGCGTTACGACATGCGATTCGTGAATTACGACGACCAGCACGACTCGTACATCATATTTGAAGGGATTTTTCCGTGCACAAAAGACGCGATGTTTACCATCTGTAAGGGGGAAGGCTTTGATTAATTTTATTTACCCACTCGAAAGAGTAAGAGAGGTTCCATAAACGACCTGCTTATCGTAGGATGGAGATTATTTTTTTAAAAAAATGTCACCTAGCAAAGCAGATTTTGACGATCATCGAAAACGACTACGGGATGTCGACATAAATGTTCAATCTCTACTCGATATACAAAATCCTCCCGAAGTACGACGCGCTTCGGAGATAAAAAAAAAAAAAAGAAGAGGAGGCAACGGCAAAAACAAGAGAACAGCGGCAGCGTACACATCCGATGTATATATCTGTATACACTCGCTGCTACTGCTGCAACCTGTATACGTGTACAAGTTCGATGATGTGCAGGACTCTGCCAGCGAGATCCTATCAATCCTTCTTTTCTCTCTCTTTCTCTCACTCTCGATCTATCTCGCTCTCTTTTGGAGGCAATCCGTGCAAAGCCAATTTCCCTTCTACAACTCTCGCTTCCTCTCTTAACATCCTAAGTCTTTTGCAAAGACTTGATTTTTTGCCTTTCGCGCGCGAGCTCCTCTCTCTTTCTCTCTCTCATTAGCCCCCTGGATTATCGTCGCGTTCGAGTGTGTGCGTGTGTGTCTATCGAGATACTGAAAAAACTTGGCAACTAGAAAAAAAGTAAGGAATACAATTAAAAGCACGTGGAAAAGCCTGTACATAGTCTGTCAAAAAGGGACGTTAAATAACTGCTCGTTTGCATTGCTTGATCCTATGATGCTTGATTCTCTTCTACGATGCACATCATGGTTTAACGACACACGAAAAATATTTACACGATGTCTTATAATCGTGCTTTGACTTATATAATAATTTTACTTTACCACTTATGTAGGTATTCGCCATCTAGCGGCAGAGGCTCAAAGTGGTACCATCGTATTTAAAGAGATTAAAAAATTAGCTTACATTTTTTCAAACAATTATGTTATGTTATGTTATGTTATTATTTTTACTATACAAATATACTTTGAGTAAGTTTCTTTATCGAACGATCCGTCCATGAGATGAAAAGGATAAAAGCATCCTTTTTTTTTATTAATGAAAAGTCCCGAAAGAATCGAAATTCTGTGGGTCAAAAAGTTTACTAGTCAGGAAAAATGATTCAACTACATTAAAACTCATCGAACAAGCTCAAGCTCAAGATCAGTTTTTTTATTTCTCGGCCTGATCGTTATTAATCTGCTGTACTGCAGCCCTCGCGCGTGCGATCGCTCGCGGGGAGAGAGTCGAATAATAAAGCGCGAGTTGTTTATCACTCCCGGATTCTTGCACCGCACCGACGCGGCAACGCAATGTAACGTACTGCTTTCCGCTGAAATTAAAGAACCTTCCCCTCCTCTCAAACTACTCTTCCTTTTTTTTTCTGCAACTCGACCCGCGCTCATTTTCTTCTGCTCCCAAAATTCGCATGTTGGTCGTTACATAATATGCTTTACGTAGTGCATTTTTTAAGTCCTTTTCGAATGCGTGACACGCACACACACACACACACACAAGCATCCGAACGAGCCATTTGGCAATAATTACTTAAAGCCGCAAAAGGCCTTTAACGGAACTAATAGTTTCCCCCGCGTGCGCACTCTAAAAGCTCATCAAAGCCCGTCCTGCGTCTTTGATTCATAATTTTCCACCGTAATGAATCGTAACGAAGTAGCAGCAGCACACGGTCAATTTGTTCACAAACGCAAAATTCACCTAGAATAAATTTGAAAATGCAAAAATAAAATTATAAAAAAGTAAAAAGCATCGAGAAAAAAGCACTTCTTTCGTCCTTTAAGGGGGCAATCTCCGTTTCAACTAATGAATTGAGACTCTATCTTTTTTTTACTATTAATTCGTCATTTCCCGACATCTATTATTCAGTCCTAGTTACAACTTTGGACATAGCTTCCTGGATACAATCTTCAGCCCCTCCACACATCAGAAAAATCTCGAAATAAAATGAATGGGGGCAGACTTGCCCCGTTGAAACTTTAATTTCCGTTACCAGTACACGAATGCAAACGTGCGTGAAGGTCAAGGCTCTATATTCGACCCTCGCGCACCATTAATTTCTCTTGTTAGACAGCACGAGCGACAAAATGATAAATGTTCTTCTACCTTTTCTCTTTGCAGGAGGAGTGCGCCACTATGCTTCAAGAATTGAGCGAGAAGATCAACAATCGCCATCAGGAGGTGCACAGCCATCCTCTGCTCTCGATCTTCAAGATGGCCGAGGTCGAGATCAAGCTGCCTCGCACGAGCAGCGGATCAGCGTCGCCCGTCGTCGATACTTCCTGGTGGTACTCGTCGATGCTCGGCTGCGCGGTGGCTCTGCTGCTCTGCACCTCCACCTCCGCGTCGTCGTGACCGCTGCTCGTGGCCTCGTCGCGGTGCGATTAACGAAGCAGCAGCAGCAGCAGCAGCTGAGACAGACTTTTTTCCTCCGTCGTCGAGCAGTGACCGCCGCAAACTTTTTTCGCACAATCGCGCGTTGCATCGCCTAAAAAAGCGACGGAAAGAGCACGCGCCTCGCGTGTTCAATTGAGATTCCTTTTTTTATTTTCCGTTCTCTGCGTTTGAAACGTTTCTCGAATCGATACATACGCGTGCCGTATGTAGCACAGCTGAGGTTGAGATTGTGTGTACGAACTTTTTCTATATGTATTATAATAAATATATATGCTACGCGTAAATTAACTGTTGTAATTATAAAAACACGAAAACAAAAAAGAATATGATATATAAATATATAAATAATACAAAATATATTTATTTATATAGAGTTATTGGGCTTCCTCGAAAAAAAAATGAATACAGAAAAAGGTACCGAAAGGATCGACGCGTTTGCATACACACGTGACTACGGTTGAGGAGAAAATTGTGTTTCGCTTGCGTGAAATTATTATGATATTATAAATACACAATGTATATACCACTTGTATCGCGATATCGTGTAATAAAATAGGCGCCTCCACTGTTCGAAATACGTGTGAATATATAAATGTTTTTACGCGAATTGTGTTCTCGAATGTATCTCCCCCATTATAAATGTACCACACATGATGTAGGCTCATCGAAGCGAAAAATAACATAGCAATACTAAGCGACTGTTTCAGCCTTAGATCTGTAAATATAATAAAAAAAATATTATTAGATATGATCGAGTTCAGGAGCCTAAAAAGTATAAATAAATATATATTATATGGAGTAGTTTGATCGTTAACGTGAAAAGAAAAAGTGTACATATGAACATAATTGTTGAACTTAAGGGATATAAAATATAAGTAGCATCAAGATAATATGTGTATACGAACGGTGTAAGTGTGCGTGCTTGCGTTGAAATTTGACAATTTCCGAAAACTTATTGTATTCGATGCCTAATTACTGAAAGGTACAAATTTGACTGATGAAGTTTGAATAAATAAAAAGAAAAAATTAGTACGTTTTGAGAATAGATAAAAAGTTATAATCCATTATTGTGTCAGTATTAAAGTTCCTTTTTGAATGAATAAAAAAGAAGGAAAGCACAAGCTCTTTGAATGCGAACGTCGAGATGAAAAACTTAAACAATTAACCAATTACTGCGAGTGTATTTGAGCGTTGTTTTTACTCGATAGCTACGATGACGATAATACGATTTCTGAATTATTATCAGCAGCTTATTTTTAACGATATGAGTATCGTTAACCACATGAGCATACAAAAAGTAACATGTGTATGACTTGAAAACTATATCAGGTTTTAAGTGACTAGATAAATTGGCAACTGCATCAGCAATCATACGCGAGCTGAAAAATTACAGATCCTCCTCGACGTTGTTTGTATCATATATAATTGTATATAAATATACCCGCGCGTAAGGAGGAAGAGAGCAAAGGGTGGTCCCAGTGCGTAACTTTGAATGTACATAAACGCACACACATGCTACTGCTGCTCTGCTCCAGAAAAAAATGTGCATGTCACCTGCATCATGCAGTCAAGGCTCGAGGAAAACAACGCACGTAAAAAAAAGCAAGGGAGAAAAAATACGTCGTCGTAGCTATTACATATACGCGCAAGAGACAAAGTCAAATAATTTTTTGTCTTATTTTGCCGCTTTTTTTCGAGAGAGACGAGCGTGCGCATAATATACTCGTACATTGGACCATTTGTTATGCGTTGTGTTTTTGTTTGTCGGGGTTTTTGACAAGTTTAAGAAAGATTTTATGTCAAAAGTTATTTACTATAAATTAGCTGTTCGAAAGAGCAAAAAAAAAAACATTTTCTATCAATTGTAACCGCATTGAGAAATTCGATTGGTAAAAAAGTATATAAACAAGAGTGCTTAGCATTAACAAACAAAAAAGTGTGCTTGAATTATCATGAAGCAAATATTCGATAAACGATGCAACGAAATACATGTTATACGGACATGACTTAAAAAAAAACCTGATACGTATGGATTTAAGGTGGACCAATTGTTGACGTTCCACTGATTAAATGTATACTCGTTATAATGAAAAATTTTCTGGATTCTTCCATTTTCCAAACGATCCGTTTTATTCCGCTGTACTTTCCCAAAAAAAAAAAAATTAAAACTCAGTAATTCGACTCCGAAATTCTACTTTTTTAAAACTAAATAAACCTTTGAATACTAAATTATTCCTATTTATGAGATATAAAATGAAAAATCATATCGTTTTCACCCTAAGCATGATTATCTCGACCTATATAACTAAAATACGGCAAACACGGAGGAATACATTTAAATGCAGCAATGTCGTGCAAAATCAATCATTCATACTTGGCGATACGAAACATGAATATTATGCACGCTTCGATCATTCTAAAACCGACTTTGTTCTATTTATTAAATTTTTGTTACACTCATCAACCTATTTTGCTTCGCGTTAAAGTTGTGCAGTACAAATTTTGCAATTTATTTTTCGACACTCAATTTTTCGATCAACAATTTTTCTAACAAAACTCGTAATATGTAAATATTAAAACGAACTTTTATTGTTACGACGAGTCGTAAAAATTTGGAATAATTACGCATGAAATTGATTTTATTCCTTCTTCCAAATTCCACGAGCAATCCTCTGCCCCGAGGATGAAGCAAAACGAAAGCACGCATATTAAGTCAGAAATCGATCTTCTTTTCGAAGGCTTCTTATAAGACAGTCGCGTCACGTAAAAATCGTGAAGCCACGGAGAAAAAAGGACGCCTCTCTTTCTTTTATACAGATGACCTCACGTAAATCCACAAACGATTGATCTTGCGTCTCTCCTGTCTTTTTCGCTTTCTCTCCTTCGAAATAGCGTTTGAATCGTTTGCGTGTCGTTCATTTTTAACCTCGAGCTTGTTTTTTCTCTCTCTTTCGTCCTATATATCCTCTATCTCTCTCTCGTACTAACTTCTGGTCTGATTTGTTTTCTCTACGGTCCCGCGTACTTCACTAGTAAAAACGTCATCGCCGCTGCGTAGTTACATAGTTACATAGGAACTGATTGTTAGCAAATAAAAGTATAAATAAAAATAATGTACTAAATATAGGTCGATGAAAATATACATATGTTGCATGTATCATAATGTGTGTATAAATAAAAATACGTTGATCGTTTTGCGAAAGAGCTTTAAGCATAAAAAATATATATCATACAGTATTGTGGTATCATGTATTCGTCGTGAATGACACGAGCGCCTGTGTAAGATTGATTGATGAAAAAAATACATCTCCTGATCCATATCACTATAGAAAAAAATTAGTTTGAATTTTGCCCATTTCATGAGGAACGGAAAATTAATATATCATTTATGTGCATACTTACGTGATTGGTTGCGATGTCTGACCAAAGATTAATCAAAAAATGCATGTATAATATTTAAAAAGACATATCGAATTATTAATCGCTATAGATTTATTATTGCGTACGTAATTAAGATGACAGTTTTAGAAAAGGAAAAAAACTAAAGAATGAAACGACCACACGCTGTTGTCTACGTAACAATTTAACGTTTAGTTGAAATGAACAAAAAAACTTGTATAAACACTTCAGGTGTATGATAAAAAGCATAATTATAAATGTATTGTATAATGACAGAAACCGTCGATATGATATTTTCCATAATCAACATGAGAGGAAAACGACTAGAGCTTGTTTTTCAATAAAAGATAGTATATTAAAGAAAAATATATATATGACGTATGCTTATGTGGCGAATTGTTTTGTATTATTAAAAACATGATCGTTTACGTTTGTCGTGACCATGATGATGAAAACTAATAACAGAATATGATGCATATTATAATAAATGTAAGAGAAAAGTCATATAATTATGTGTAATGTATGTACAGATAAGAAAGTGCATATATTACGATTTTTTACATATATTTTTGCGAATGATGCGTTAAAAATGCATAATAATACGATGCTTTCCACATCAATCTAAAAAAAGTTTTATTGTTTGGTGTTATCATATTATTTTGAAATAAAAATTGCATGTGACGCAAAAACAATGCAAACACAAAACATATCTGAATCGTAATAATAAAAAAAGAAACGAAAAATCAACTGTCATGAATTTATTCCAATTCTAGAGATACATATCCTCTGTTACTGAATTCATATCGTAAATTAATGCAGCTGATAATTTGAGTGAAGCTCACTACCACTTAACATTTATTCGTTTATAATCACATAAAAGACAGAATGGAAATAAAATGATTTATATCATTATCAATAACTCGTACCTTAATTTTATTCACTCCTACGCTTGTATTTTAACATTTTTTTTTCAAATTTACACAGTTATTATAATCGGAATCAAAATAAAATAAGATTAGTAATTCGTAAATTAGTAGTATGTTATCAACGAAATTTTCTTTCTTTTCTTTCATTTAGACTTGATCATAATTTTTGTATTCATCGAACTTATCTCTACTATTTCACGCATTATATAGCATTTAATAAACACTTTGCCACTTTCAGATTTACTGATAAAAGGGTACTCGCCATCTAGTGGTGGAGGTGTGAAGTGGTATTATTGTATTTGAAATGGTAGATTTTTTGAAGAGATTAAATTGTTATTTTTTTTGCCATTTAAAATGCCCTTAGTATTTCTAATATAATTGCAACAGCAGAATGTCCAAGGCAAGCAAATTAAAGGTAATATATTTTTCAACATTTTCAATAAAGATTTTTTTATTATAAGGTCGCATCATTAGTATTAAGTTTTTCTACCAGAGACTTAATAGATGAAAATAAAAAAGGAGATAATAAAGAGCTATTCTTTTCTCACGAATGCATTCAAAAATCTTGAAATTTTATAAAGAAATTGATTTTCTCTCTTGATACAACGGAATGGATTTTCTCGATGCAATCCTACTTTACCGCTCTTGCGATATTTCCTTTGTATAACGATGGTTGCAAACGTTGAAAAGAACTTAATCATTCGAAGGTAAGTTATCCAGAAGGTAAAAATAACCACCTCAAATATATGCACCTTGGCGATTAAACGCATCCCTAAATCCGTGGATCTAATTTCAACTAATGTAAAAATTAAAAGGGTTTTCATTCATGGGCAATTTGATCACTCATAATTGAATATATTTCATTCCATACTACGAAAATAGTCAAAATCACTGATACGATAATTCATATTCGTCAGAGGCTTTTATTGCGTAAAAAGTAACACAGTTTCATCGTTCATGAACATGATTCTTCATAACCAAAGGTTTTTATACAAAGATTTACTTCTAAATACAGGATTTCGGCTCGATTCAAGTAAATATCTTCTCTCTTATCATAATCTGATACCTACCTTATCTATAACTGGTAAATATAATCAATATATACATTCGAAAACAAAGAAGCTGTCGACAATGGTTACTATCGGTAAAATGGAAACTCTCTATTACCTTTAAAATTTATCAGCTAATTTTTAAAACATTGATATTTTATGAGAGCTAAGAATCAGATCAAATACTTAAAAGTACTTTGTAAGTATATAACTCGATAAAGTACTTTTTTAATCGAGTATCTCTACGATAACTTTTGTAATCAAGATTCGAAATAAAATATGTAACAATAATCGATAGTACTCAACCAAAGATTTTTTGTAAATTTTTAATATAATACTCATCCAATAATTGAAAATATTAATGATCCAACTTTGAAATGAATATTTTTTTCATTGAATAGAATCTGATAAGATTCATAACGTAATGCAGACACCACGACACAATTTTTAAGTCGTAGAAACGAACTATCTCTTTGTATTTACGATCGTGTTTAATGCTCAGCTGCGTACTTGCAACAACGTCAGCTTAAGTTCATCCTCTTCGGAGTGGCCCCTACCTGTCACCTCTCATCTGGTATATCATGAAGGGTTTGGAAATGTATATGTTCTCGAGGGAGCATTATCGTATGAGAACCTTCACCCGATGTCATTTTCAATGATTTTTGATGATTGTAACCTTTGTTATTTTATGTCTTTTTGATTTATCTATTATAACTGAGAATTAAATTTTACTTTGGTTGATCATTAATTAAATATTAAAAATTAATTTTATGAAAAATTATAAAGGTTTTTTTTGTATTCAAAGTGATTATCAAAAGCCTGCATAATTTCGTCTCTTAATTGTAAAAATTCAAAAATCTAAATTTTTTCCATTTTCATGAACTTTCTAAGGTTTGTTTAATTTATGACCTAGTCATCGTTATTTATTAAAAAATTTGATGTTCTAATTTTGTGAGTGGTATTTTAAGAAATGAAGATCGTGTAATTATTTTCTGTACTCAAATGTCAGATTGAGTAGTTAACTTTATTTAAATGCCAAAAAATGTTTCATTTAAACTTCAAAAAATTGAATTTTTGTTATTTCATATTTATTTAATGAAAAATCATTGACATAATGAAGTTATTATAAAAATGACTGGACTCCTTTCTTATAAATTTTTGCAAACAAAACTCTGCTCTGATTCAAAATAATGGTGAGTAATTGTTGAAGTAATAATTGTAAAGTTTGTTTAATTTACGCATCTTTGTACTCGATACAATAATTTACACTATCGCTATTACTCACACGCATATAGCTGCCATGTACTCATGCATGTATATATACACACATATCAGTATTCAATGAAAGAGTAGGGGCTTAATCAGTTAGTCGATAGGGAAATTGGCTTATAGTCCACTCTTCCTCTCTCTCCCTTGTTTCTTGAAGCCATTGGCCGCCGATGCCGCTGCTACCGTCTCGATCTATCACTCGAATATTGGCACATTCCACTCCTCTTTATAAAAACACACGTCGTACGAACCGCCGGAGTAATTACGATGTGCCGAGTACGCTAGTTTTTTCTCATCTGTTTTTTGTTATTGTTATCCATATTTTTCAGTAAAATAGGTCAACGTTTGTGCCGACCAACCGGCTAGGTCTGAATTTCTTCAATCTGTGAATCGGTGGTGTGTACGATCTCGACCGTATGTGGATCGGTGTGATTTTTTTTTCTGTGAATTGAATCAGTGATAGTTCAACAAAACGATGTTCATCATTGAGCTATTATTATGATAAGTGGCGAAGACGATACACTCGACGAAGAAACAACCGAGTAGAATGACCAGCTGATCGGTATTGCAAATTAGTGGCAAAAAAAACTAGTTTCTGGGGCGCTGCAATTTTTTATGCTGACTAGCTATCATGTAATTATTTACAGGTATGAGGAGTCATTCTCTAGTACTCCTATGCTGCTATCTTTATACCCTCTTTGAAATGGCAGCCTTGCATTATCCGTGAGTATTTGAATGGTTTTTTTACTAGAGATGATGCCGAGGCTGGGGTAGAATGACGTTTTTTAATTGTATATTTTCCCAATAATTGAACACGTAAATCATTCAGTATCAACCAAGAAAAATTTGTAAATTTTCACCCTGGCTTCGGGATTCCTTTAATTTTGAATGACAAGGGATAGTAGTAAAAAAAAAAACACGTACACGTAATGTCCCCTTTAGAGATGGAGTGTGTGAAGCTGTCCTCTCCTCAGAAGTAGAGGGTTGGAATTTTAAGGTCAATAGCCGAATCTCTCGTACTATTCGACTTTCAGCGAGAAAACGCGGATATCGCTTTTTTCCAAAAATCATGAGGTAAAATACTCTATCGACTATTTCATATTATTTTTCACGATCATTCAGATTTATAACGAATTGAGCTAATAATAGTTCTGTGAAATGTACTCTTTCGAATTATAAACTTATATTTTAGAAAAATTAACTTGAGCAATTTTAGTTAGTTGATCGATTTCACATGTGAGTACTTTGAAAAAATCAAGTTGCTTTCAGACACAAAAGCACATCTCATATTGCATGTATAATAGATAAATTGCACGATTTTGAGCAATCAATGCTTAACGAAATAAGTATCTGTCCAAAAGTAAACAGTTTTGATTGGATTTTTTTGCGCACTGAACTGAAATTGATATATCACGCGTTTTTTCGTAAGAAGGTCGAATTTGATGGTGCAAACGGTAGTTTTTGAATCAAATATATTTTTTTCAAATTGAATAGAGAGATAATAATTCCAATAACTCTATAAAAACATTTTTTGTGAAGTTAACATACCACCCTCGAAGCACCGAACAATACTATGATATTTTGCACCGTACTTTGCACGAAAGAATTTCAAACGTTCAGCCAGTTATATCTGTCACGAGTGAAATTACTTTATTATGATTGAAATTTATTGATGGATTCTCTTTTTATCCATCGTCGCTTTGAATAAAATACATGCCAAGAACAATGCATATATAGAGGTGTACGCCGCGTGTGTGTGGGAGGTAAAAAACGGCAAAGAACGTTGTCAGATTAACTTAAGGGTATGCACAGCACGAACACATCTTATGGCTTCTCCCTTTTGCGATATACATACATCACACACACACACACACACACACACACACACACACACACACACACACACACACACACACACACACACACACTCACTGATGTTTTTGCTCTGCCATTGTGCGGAATCGGCAATATTCACCAGTTTTTTTTTTCACATATATACATATCTTACGTACACATGCTCAATTGTATCGCTGGAGTGTGTGTGTGTGTGTGTAAATATATTAGTGCGACTATTCCGATTTAGCGCCTATATTCTATCTGCTCTCTCATTCGCACATCTTTCAATCTCAAGTGAAGAATTGAGTTGCAATATAGAGTATCGATTGCTGTGTATATAAAATGTGGAACGGATGAAAAGTTGTAATGAAGTTTTTTCATCGTTCGTTCGAATGCGTAGTAACTTTATTTTATTCAGGGTTGCACGTTTATTTTCAGAATTAAATATGATTAAAAATTGAATTAATTTTTCGAACGAAATGAGAATTTTTAACTTAATCGCACCACTGCAATAATCTAATCACGCACAAAAAATCATCATTAATAATAATTGGTAAAATTTTTCCTCACAACTGATTTGCTGCGGAATTACGCAGAGAAGAAAGCGAGGACTACGGCAGGAAGGAGGTCTCGCTCTCCCTGAGGGACATTCTGCCGAAGAATCCGAAAAATTATGACAAGCACAGAGCACCCAAGTACCTGGGACAGCCAACTATCGTTTATTTTCATGTTACGGTTCTCAGCATAGACTCCATTAACGAGGAATCCATGGTAAGATGCGGGGCAAACAATTTTCCATTTTTATCCTCTCTCGAGATCGATGTAAGAACGAGGAAAAAAAAATTAATTCTTTTCTCTGTCCTCAGACCTACGTAGCGGACATATTTCTCGCTCAAAGTTGGCGCGACTCGCGGCTCAGGCTACCGGAAAACATGTCGGAGGAGTATCGCATCCTCGACGTCGACTGGCTGCACAATATTTGGAGGCCCGACTGCTTCTTCAAGAATGCCAAAAAAGTTACGTTCCACGAGATGTCGATACCCAATCATTACCTCTGGCTCTATCACGACAAAACGTTACTCTACATGTCCAAGTGAGTATTAGATTGGCCACGATAAACGATCCAATTTTACCGAGATAGAGAGATTTAATTGAATGTATTGTTCTCTCTAGATTAACGTTGGTGCTGTCGTGCGCCATGAAATTCGAGTCCTATCCCCACGACACTCAAATATGCTCAATGATGATCGAAAGTCGTGAGTATTGCACCACCACCAACCCGAGATTGCTCTGTTATTCCAAAACAATTCAAACAATTAACTATTATACGATTCCTCCGTTCTGTCTCGCGCAGTGTCGCACACGACGCAGGACCTGGTATTTATCTGGAACTTGACCGATCCGCTAGTGGTCAATCCGGAAATCGAGTTGCCGCAACTCGATATCGCCAACAATTACACGACCGACTGTACCATCGAATATTCGACGGGCAATTTCACTTGCATTCAGATCGTCTTCAATTTGCGCCGGCGCCTTGGCTATCATCTGTTTCACACCTACATACCGTCGGCGCTTATCGTCGTCATGTCTTGGATTGCCTTCTGGATCAAACCCGAGGCCATACCGGCTCGAGTTACCCTCGGTGTCACGTCTCTGCTAACTCTAGGTACTGCTGCTGCTGCTGCTGCTGCTAACGACACAATTATAATCGCAGTTATGACTCCCCTCTCTCCTTCTTCTCCTTTCGTCTTTCCTTTCTTTGCGAACTTTTTCGCATTAACATCTCATCCCCGATATGCGGATTATTATTAAAAACTATATAGTGTACGCGTAAATACCATTCACACTCCCCCCCCCCCCCCCNCCCCCCCCCCCCCCAACCACACTCGAATGGGAGTATAGCATGTTATAATATATCCTCCTTATCTCAGGCTATAACTGAAAACTTGCTTCGGGCTAAATTATATGATCCGATTAAATTTAATAAAACTCTGCCCTAGAAATTATCACTCACTTTTTCTCGCGAGCGATAAAAAAAATGGTGTTGGATGCCCATCGTCGTGTACACCTGCGCGCACACACACACACACACACAAGCGCGCGCGCGCACATACTCGTAGTACATGACACGAATAATCGTATGCATACCATATATATTTTTTTGCGTTAGAAAGAGAGAATCGCGTGAGCGAGTCGCCCGTGAAGAGAACACGTTCCCGGGAAGCCTTAAAAAAGCTTACGATATCGCACCCACCGGGAATGAGCGGCTATATAGATAAAACAAATATAAAAATCGTATTGTTGGAGTGCGAATATCTGTGTAATACGCGGGGAGGATGTGCGTATAAATGAATACATCGGTAGAATCAGCGCAATCATATGGGATATCGTACCCGCAGATTTCTCACTCGAATGTATCGGCCGGAGATAGAAATGTCCATAATCGAAAAAACCTCGACTAAAAGTATGAGCTAAGATTTTTTACTGCTTTACTATATGTAACGGCAGATTATTTCCAGTAAAATGTATAATATAATCACGTTCAATGTCTTAACCTGTCGTTTTTTATTACTCTCACAGCGACCCAAAACACTCAATCCCAGCAATCTTTGCCACCTGTATCTTACGTAAAAGCTATCGACGTGTGGATGTCGTCTTGCAGCGTTTTCGTCTTCCTATCGCTGATGGAGTTCGCCGTTGTCAACAATTACATGGGACCCGTGGCGACCAAAGCCATGAAGGGCTACTCTGACGAGGATTTGCACGAGGCAATAGACGAGATCAAGGTGAGTGTATTTGCTAATAAATTCTCAAAAGGGGACTAGAATGATTGTTTTAGTACAATTTTGGTTTCCATGAGATAGAGTTATGAATTTTAAAAGAAAATTTAACATTATAAAAAATTGTGCACGTACAGTATACAAAAAATTATATTAAATTATTAAAATTTATCATATGACCTTTTCACCATCCCTAATAGAAATTATCAACATTGATAATAGCCTAATAATTAAAATTTGACCATTTAAAATGTTTGAAAATACATTATCATTAATTGGCTTGTTTTCGGCGATTTTTTTGTTACAAATATGTTGCACGTACTGAGTGCATTTTAAATTACCCAAGTATCAAAATTTAGACCAGTTTCCAACCACTTTGGAATATATAATAATATAAATTAATATTTAATAATATTTAATAATATAAATTTAAGTCCGCTAGTTGGCGAGTGTCTTACGATGTAAATCTGTAAGAGGAAAAGTGCTAATTGAAGGTTATATTTTCCTTGAATAAATATCATGACATCTAACTCATTGCAGATCATTTTTATTTAAATTCAAATGATATGAATAATCATTTCTTTTGATTGATGTGGGAAGTATCGTAAAATTTACACCAGGTTTCAACCACTTTTAATGCAATATAACACTTTGAGTCTCCACTACTAGATGGGGAGTACTTTTATCCGTAAAACCACAAGTGAAAAATAAAACTGATTTTATAAGTCAAAGCACGGTAACTTTATCATTTCGTCAATTTTTATTATTATAATTAGCTTATTATTGGAACCGTGGGGTATAAACCCCATACGGCCTCGAGTGAAATGTGGTACAAAAATTGCATAAGAAGTTTGACAGTATCTTCTGTGAACTTCAACTGAAATGTTTGAACTTTGAAGCAAATTTTCGGAAATCATTACCATTATTGGTAATGAATGCGACTCATTTCCAAGTACAAGTTTTTGTGTACAATTAAAGTAATGTTATAAAAGTAATGTTATAAAATTCAAATTAACAAATTCAATTCAAAGTTTGTTTTACTTTTGAAATTTAGAAAATTAAAATTAGCCATTGAAAGTATGTTCAAATGGTAATAAGTGTGAATTTTGCAAATCAAAAATTGTATTTGGTCAAAAAATGACCGTTTTATAATTAAAAAAAATTTTACGTTAAACAAAAACCATTCATAAAATGTTGACCATTTCTACAAGAAATGTATTTGTTATAACACGAGGCATCTTTTAGTCAAAAATGTCGGAAGTTATATTTCGTTTCATCTCATTTTTAAGTAAAATTACAAAAATTGCTTTTTCATGAACTTCATTCTGAATAGTGAATTATTAGTATATATTTATAAAAATAAAAACTAATATTGATTGGAAAAGAGTACTATTTAGCATAATTAATTTGAACCCGATTGCAGACGCCGATGAGGTCAGAATCAGCCGACCGAGGTAGGAGTCCTCTTCGTCGGCCCGAGCCCGTAGTGCAATACGACACCTGCTGTGAGGGTCGCGCAACTGCCATCTACATCGACAAAGTTTCACGCTTTCTTTTCCCGTTTGCATTTTTCATTCTAAATGTCGTTTATTGGAGCACTTTTCTAGGCTAAATTATTCATATAAAAAATTTAATATAAGGATAAAATACTCACCTGAAAAGTTGTTAAAGTTAATAATAAATATTTCTGCCGGTAATGATGATCGTGGGTCATTGAATGACTTGAGGTGGCGAAATGTAATGTTTTAGTAATTAGAATGAATGAATGATTTGTTACTGCGACGAATGAATGGCTTTCTCGATGATTTTAGACACTTGAGTAAAATACTTTCAAATAAAATCATGGGACATGGTACATCATTTCTTGTGATTTAATGCTAACTGAATTAACTAAAAAATTAATTATTTATAATTTCAGCAAATTATGAAAACCTTTTATATTTACGTAAATTAGCTTTAATTGTTTAAGATTTATGCATCAATAGCTCATGTAAAAACTAAACTTTAAAATTACTGCGTTAATGTATAACACAAAACAAGTACGCTGTAAACAATCATTATAAGAATGAATTATAATCAAATTTATCTTTTTTTTTGAAAATATTTTAAAAATCAATATTATTTGATATATAAATAAATAAAAGTTAAAAAAAAAATAATAAAATGATTCAAATTTTATAATTTAAAATTATTAATATGAGAAAATATTGAAATTAAGAGAAAGGAATCAGAGGATACTCGAGGACAGTTAATACGAAGTAGGAACGTAAATAAAGACAATAGATCATTTTATTTATATCTTTCATTCATATATTTCATCTCATCGGTTCATATATGCATTAATAATAAATATACCTTTTTTAAATTATTTTTGACACTCGTGAGTGTATTTGTTTTCGACGACAATTATGATCGCTTACAATACCATTTTACAATTATTCATTCTTGAAACTTTCGTACGATTTAAATTTTTTTTCTCTCATAATTAACTCTCTGAGCTGTTACCATCTGCTTCTTTCATCTATCTTTTAGATTTCTTTTAACAATGATCGATCTACGATCGATTTGGTGAAATAAATGTTTTTCGATTTTCTCGTTTTTTCCTCTTTTATTCGTAATCTTTTTGATAATACATGATTTAAAACTATTATTAGCCAACGTGCGCTATTTCCATGAATGTTCATTTTTGGTTTTATGCAACCGAGTATACAATAATGTCTCAGTAATCCAAGTGTCTCATTGAATGAGTATATATTAAATTATTATTTATTTATTTTTTTTATTAATAAAACTTTCATGTCGATCGACGATCGTATATGCCTATATTGAATCAACCCGCACACTTATTTTAATTTCGTATATAAATACATATACATATTTCTATATGTAAGTACGATTCGTGTACAAAGGCTGTATTGCGATGCACGACTAAAAAAATGAATTATAAACATTTTTATAGATAAACGAAAACTTGCTGTGTAATCTTTAAATTTAAATTGAATTTCATTCATGTTTAGAAAAATCATAAATACATAATTTTAAAAAAAGTTCGTGTACGACTTATCGTGCATAAATAAAGTTATTACCGCTCTTTAAATTGGCAACTGTAAAAAATTTTTTTTTCGATTTCCAAATCGTAACTTTCTATAAAGTGAAAAAATGACTAGAAAAATGCAAATACATAAATATTACATGTTTTGCAATACAGCCCTCGATACATCTTTGTATAAGATCGATGCTCTGTAAAATTGGATGGACCGAAAATTTTATTTGCGGGAAATAAAAAAATATTCATTAGGTTCCTGAATCAAATGGCGACGTAACACGTAATATTATTGTTATTTTTACTAATATTATTTTCATATCTCAAAAGTGTAACGAGAAAGGATATAATTTTTTTATAAAAATAATTTCATTGACTGAACATATTAGCTCTGGCTGCATACTTTATTAAGTATCAAGAGAAATGAAAATACTAGTTTTTAAATAATTTTTTGATCTATTCAATGTAACAGAGAATCGATTATATGTATATATATTTTTTCATTTCCTTTTTTTTTTAGTAAACATCGAAAATATAAGTTTTTCTTTCTCTTCGTAGCTTTGCATATTTTGTGTATATATGTGTGTTTTTGGTCCGAGTGAACGATAGACGATCGAGACAAAAAACTACCCGAAGGATGTAATTGAGAATTTAACGAAAGTTAGAATCTTTGACGTATAACGATTGACAACTAAAAATATTTATATGACACTTATTCGTCGAAATCGATGAAATATACAATACAATATGCATATATATATTTATAAACCGTTATTCAGTCATGCATATATCTTTCTGTGTATATTCTCATATATGACTACTATCCTACAATTATTATTATTCAATTTTTTTTTCATTATCTAACACCCATTTATTAAAAAAAAATATTATTATTATGATACGCACCCATACGCGTTCGCCCACGCACTGATACATATATAATAGTCAATATGTTTTAGAGGATCTTTGTCAAATGTTTATCTTTCTTATAACTCACGGCTTAGTAAATTCGCAGATAACATCACGCGCTCTATTATACATCGATATTTATTAATAATCCGTAGAATTAAATGTAGTGTACCCTTTCAAAATTTTTTAAAAGAATCAGTTTTTTTTGTTGTTGTTGTTGTTTTATCTCTTTTCAACGTTTCTTTACAATCGTTTGGACGCATTCTTGATATTGCATTATTAAGATGTTGTTTTTGCCTTTTTTGCGCGAAGTAAATCGTAAGTAAAATTAATCAAAACGTTTGTCTTCATCAAATTCTACATTTTTCTTGAGTTTACATTATGCTCGTTTTTATGAAATGCTATTATTTTCGATATACTTCATATTCAAAGTTGAAATGAGACAACGCAATCTTACACTGAAGTAATGCAGTTTATTGTCAACGGAAAATTGTTCCTTATATACGGGATTTATCGTGAGCGTTGAAAAAAAATATAAACATTTCCATTTTCATGCTTTTATCATGGTATCAAAAGAAAGCATCTTACTTTATATCCGTATATTTTGATGAAACATAAGTGAGTGGAGGTTACTTCGTTTCTTAAACTTGAACTATTTGCCATTTATAATTGACATTTTCAAATGATCGAAAATAAGAGTACAAAGAGCAAAACTAAACTCCTGTATTGCATGTTCTAATTTTATTTCACGTACGAGTAATTTTTCCCGACTTTTTGTCTCAATATAATTTTGGTCCAATGGAACACAGCTCATAAATTAACACATTTCAAGCTCGGTATTATGCAATTATGTAATATGCCATTTAATTACGTCGCGTTTTCATGAAAAATAATTAGCGAGGAGTTGAAAAACTGTTTAATGTGCAGGTCAGTAGTCTAAAAGGAAATTGAAGGAATATTTTATTTTGCGACATTGTCGTTTCAATGCCATTTCCTTAATAATTACACATTCTGTTTGTAAGATTTTTATTAAATGAGAATTGTATTTAACGAAATTTTACGGTTTTCTGCGTACTTTTAATGTCTATTATCTTCATTTATTTGTATATTTAATACACTCAAAGAGGTAAAGTGCTAATATTAAGCAGAGTCGTTTGAATTTGTGAATTTATTTCATAAGAAGTTCGATTCGTGATCTGAAGAAATTTCTCAAGATGTTATAAAAATTTAGTTGAATTACGGACGGCTGGTCAATTTTGTCCCTCAAATTTATTAGTTTTTTTTTCTTCAGACTTAAATTTTTATAAATAAATAAGCTACATATTTTTTCATGTACATTATTAAATTCGGTGTTTCGAAAATAATTTATCCCGTAGTTTCCAAGATATCATGTCATGCTCAAAAATGTATGATCGTATCTAAAAAGCAATGAAATTTGAAGTATGACATTTTTTAAAATAACCCTACTGCAATAGTAACCTTTGCAAAACATCTTTGTTTCGGTTATTTATTCATTCTTTTTAATTCGACAAATGCTCTTACCTTTCAAACGCGAGCGTGAAATAGTTAAACGCTTTCCTTCTTTCAAAAAAATTGGCAGTTTGCGGTAGTTAAGTTGAAAGACTCATATTTTTCTTATAGATCATTTAAGATAAAACGTAGTTCGATCCTCATTTTTTTGTTCTCTTTACAAAATTCATTGTAAGTTTGACCACATTGTAACTTTATATACTTAAGATAATTGTCGATTCTCGTGAAATTTTATTGTTATAACTTTGTAATTATAGATAATTATAGTAAATTACTACGGATTCATTTAAAATATCGACTGTAGTTCATATCTTTGAACTTTAATTTTTTTATCTGTCTTTTTAAAATAATTACGTGAGATAGCAATAAATTTTTGTCTGCTCTATGTATGTATTTCAGTTCGTATCGTTTATTTTAACGATAATCAGGATTTATTGTTTAATATTTGTTTACCGAATTTCTTCTAGTGATTTGAAATACACTTAATCGTAACAGGTGGTGACAGCAGAAAATCGTTGACGAGACACGTTTTTTTTTATTTTCCATAAGGAGTTTAAAAGAGGTTTTATTTATTTTTTTTTATTTTAAATTGACGATGGCACTGTTATACGTTAATATTTAATCGTTTTCTAACTCATTTGTATCGTTTATGTATAGGAATGTTGAAACAGGAAACAAGTTTTTTTCACATTTGATTCGTTAGAGCTTTTTTATAATGTCCTGGCCTGCTTTCAGACTGCTATCATGCAATATTTAAGATCATCGAGTGATTAAGTGCTGTTTTTTTCGTAAGCTATGAACGAATGAAAACATTAATATAATTTTTTTTTCTTTCGTAATTGGCAGATGTGTTTGAACATTCGTCGATATATATAGAGAACTAATCCGCAACAAGTATAGAGATAAAAATTTATTAAACATCTTTTTTCTTTCAAAATATACCATGAGTGAGAGATGGGGATATAGGCAAAGAACAAATTGAAAATCCACAAGTATAAAACTCTCTCTCGCTCGTAATATTCCACGTAAATAGTATTTGATAACGTTTTCAAAGCAACCTCGTGCAATCACGATGAGTTTATCATTTATTTAGTCTTTACTTTTTTGTATTTTTCTTTTATATGTATAATATGTACGTATTTTCTGTATAAATACATATATATATATATATCCTCTCTCAATCTTCAGAATGCTTTAGAATTTATATATTTACTCTGTACACATTTACGTTAAACTCGTATCTCGTATTACTCATTTTATCTAAGTATTTATTGCACGGTTTTTTTTCTAAATAACTTGATTACCTTCTGCTTTACATAACGTTTTAACCATTTATCGCGATTTTATACATGTTTGTAATAATTATATGTACAAATTAAGAAGTATATACGCTAATACGTACCTCTCCCTGTTTCGACCCTATCTACAAACACACTTTTTTATATTTTTACTTTGAAACGATTCTATTTTACAATTACCATGAGTCGTTTACTCAGAGCTAGCGAAAATAAAATCTTCCTTTAATACACTGTTTACATTTATTTACCAGATCGTCAGATCGAGTTTTCCTACGTAAATGTTTTGGACAATTTCGTTTATCTTATTCAGCTACGTTACTTTTATTTACACTTCTCTCAATTTCATCGTTTCTAATGAAAATCGTCTTTTTAGTCGTTATTAATTTATACACGTTTCACAGATTTACTTGCTCGGCCACGATTCACGTTACAAATGAATTTTTCAGGTGTCATTAATTGACAAATTAATCCATTGATTGGCCGAAAAATCGACAACTTTTCGAGATTATTGAACTTAAACATTAAAAATTGGGATAAATTTCTGAAAACATGATATCTCCTCTCACGCGAGACCTTAAAAAAATATCCCCTGCCATATGTGTGCACATCAAAATAACGACCCCTATACGACTGCTGCATCTGGCGGCTTGACACACTTATAATGTAGTACAACTCCGCGCAAGCGCGAAGTTTGAAAGAACGAGGGCATCTTACTCAATTTACAAAGGTTTACATATGTGTCTACACATACATGTTCATATACATTTACAAATATATGTACACGTATATGTAATTATATATACTATCATTCATTCGTACACAATTTTTTTTTACATATTTTCTCTATCCTCAGAAAAATTATATTCATTCTTGTTTGAAAAAAGTTGCTCGTCCGCAGAATGAAATCAGGCAAGATTAAATTTTCATTTCACATCGGGCACAGAGTCTTGGAAGGAAAAAAAAATTTCTTGTTCGTTCAAGAAAGAACAGTAAGAAAGAAAATTAAAAATTTTTAAGGATAGAGTCACATTAGTCGAGCTGAAACATCTCAGCTCTTCTTAGAAAATAATTTTGGTTTCGACATATGTAATTACAAGCGAGTGGAATGGTTCACACGATCTTTTTTCTTTATTCAAAAAATCGGAAAGGTCAAAACAATGTTCTTTTTTTTGCTTTGAAATAACAATTAAAACAACTTCCATCGACGCTGAGAAATTACTGTGGAAGGCCACTATTTTATACTCAATTTCATTTATTCTTATTTATCTACATCAAACTATTGAAAAATTGTCTCTCTTTCACACTCTATTTGTTCCTGTTACGGTCGCTTACTTTTATAACGAGCTAATTAAATATATATTTTATTTATCTGTATTCATAGTTTTACATAACACTTAGATATTTTTAGTTTTGTTGTATTGGACATGCGTACAATTTTTAAAAAGTACACTCAGATCCATAATTCTATATTCTATAGTTTTTTTCATTTACACACAATGATCAAGGGAGAAGAATAGGATTTTATTATTTTTTGTTCCGTTTGTTCATTTTACAAGGCGAAATAGTACATTATTTTTTTTTGTGGATCATGAATATTATAGTATAATAATCGCAATCAATTATAACAATAATGATGATAAGTTTAGATATTTCGTTTCAAATTTTCTTTTATCGATGTTTATTATCATCATTATTATTTTGTTCAACTTTTACACACTCAACTTTGGTGCTCATATTTAGTATCCTTTGAACCTTTACGTACTTAATAATTCGACGCGTACTGTACATCATACGAATTTTGTTTTCGACGTCTATACAGAGCAACCATCGTAAACAATGTATACGATCTCAAATTTTCCGTTTCCTTATATACTCTTTTTTCTCTCTCTCTCTCTCCGTCTCCTGTCTAATTAATTTTCTCTTCGACTCTTTTGTTTTGATCTTAACAAAGCGCAACAACGACTATGTATACACACGACAACGAGACGCGTTGTTGTATTTTTTTTCCCTATGCAAGTGTGGGTGTGTTTGCGCAGAAACGCGAGTATGCGTCGCGCTGCAACCGCTGAAAATCCTTAATTATTCTTGGCACTCAGGGGTATTGTGCACGATATACCACCATGCTATACACGATTCAAGTGTGCGTCTCGCTCGCTCGTGTTTTGCTCTGCTCGTGGGTTAGAGTTGGGTGTGCGTGTGCTTTTTTTCTGCGCACACACTTGTATCTACGGTATCTGTCATCGCAGCTGTAAATATACAAACAGAAGAAGAAAAAAATAATACGCACATTTTTGTTTTTTTTTTCTTTTCTGCTTTACGCGAGTGAAAAGGAGCCTCGATATTTTTTGTATCAGATAGGCTCACATCTCCTCGACGAAAACTCGACTTTCTCGTTCTCGAGCGATATCAGCAGTTTTTCTATATAGCATAAGTGACAATCAACTCTCTCTCTCTCTCTCTCTCTCTCTCTCTCTCTCTCTCTCTCCGAGTGCTCGAAGCATTATTTAAAATATATAATCGAGTGTTTGCTCGTCCGCGCGCACGCGCTACAGCAAAAAAAGACCGAAATTCGATGAATGATACGGGGGAAAAAAAGAGACACGTAGGCTTCTTCACTCTGTAAAACCGCTTGACCTTCTAACCAGTAGCTCGTAAGAAATTCTTTGCCCTCTTTTTTTCGAAAAAAAAAAACAAACGAGAAAGCTACGCGTTCAACACGATAGAGAAATTTTCTCATCAATAATTTTCATTTCGCTGCTGGAGAGATCTTTTTTTGGCTCTCCCGCGACACACGACTTTGGGAACTCTCAATCACAGAGAAAAGGTGTTGGCTAAAAATGATTTCCTTCGATTTGCTCTTATCGCCTGCTGCTACCCTCGTTTTTTTCTTTTTTACTTTCGTCAATCCATCATACTATTCTTCGTATATGCGATTAAGACATCGCGTCGTTATAGTTCTACTCCAGTTCGGTTCAATTAAGAGCTTCTATTTCTGTTTAGTATGTCAGAGTTTGCGAAAAAAAATCTATCAATTTTTAAGGAGTACAGATTATTTTTCGCTCCCTTTTCACTACGCTTTTTTGCAATTAAATTTCACGTGCGCGCAAGCTCGCGAGGAGAAAAAATAGTGAGACCACGCGCGTGCACGGTCATTTTAAATAATTAAGGCATTTAAATTTAAATGCGGCGCGACGACGAAGAAAATGAAAAAAAAAAAGCTCACAACATTTTTCAGAGTAACTTACAACCCGCCGCGTGTGCGCTGCTCTACATACATTATGTAACAGCCTCCCAACTCTCTCTTTTGAACGCACGTAGCCCCAGCTCAACGCGTGCGCCGTTAAAGAGGCAAAATTAATCAGTGAAATTTAATTTTGGCGCGTTGCATATACGCGGTGGCGGTGGTGTGACGTGCATTTATATATCGAAAGTTCGGAACATCAATCGATCGTGTGCCCCAAGTCGTCTTTGCTGCGTATGAGAGTTGCGGAAAATTAGAAGTTACCTCCAACCAATACAGAAGGTTTTGGGGAAGAAGCTTGAGCCCAAGTTTGGTAGAACTTGATAAAAGGATAAGCGCCTACTTATTGGCAGCTATCGTTCATTTATTCACTTGTTCGATTCATCGTGTAAAATTCACATCACATTAAAAAGAATTTAGAACAAAATAAAAAAAAAAAACTACGTATGTCACTTCGTTGGCAAAGAAAAGAAAAACTCATTTAACGCAAAATTTATGCTAAGGTACATAGGAAAATAACTGCGCTCGAGAGAGAAAGAGAGAGAAAATGAGAGGCGACCTCCAAGGAAAAGATAAACTAGAATTTTGCAGTCTCCGTGCTGAGCAGCAGCAGCGACGAGACGACCATATAGCTATTTCAGGCCTCGATATATAGTAGCGAGAGGCAAAATCGATCCGGCAGCCGATGCAAAAAGAGCTTAATCCCGGGGCTTAACTCTCAACCCTGGATCTCGTACACGTAGCTCTCTCTCTCTCTCTCTCTCTCTCTCTCTCTCTGCTCACGCCTTTAGCAGCAGCTAGCTAGAGACATTGTCTCTCTTCGAGCTTTTCCAAAGTCGTGTTATTTTTCGTACGTGTGTGTGTGTATCTTTTGCTCTTTCACGAAAGAGGAGAAAAGGGGAGAATACTTCTCTTGCACCGCGTGGAAGTGAGCAAATAAACGGGTTTTAGGGTTGTAAAAATACAAAACGTCGCGACGAGTTGTTAACCATATATTTTTCGTTTTTGTTTATCATCAAATCACCAGTAGCATCTGAGTTCGAGCGATTTTTTTAAAGGAAAAATAAATAAGCTTAATAATACAGAAGACGCTGCCTTCGCATTACTCTCGACGTCTCTGAAACTCTTATTTTTTGACATACTGACAGTAATCTCGTCGACAATTTTCAATCAGTGATTCTTTCATTTTGCTGAGCTGATTTATACGTAGTCAAGATGATTTTCATAAGTTCAAAAACTATTTAAAGTGATGAAATAAATTATAGTACAGCAGTAATTAAAAAATATTACAACAAAAAAAAATTCAAACAGACAGGTGCAAAATTTATAATTTTTAATAATTAGATCATGCAAATTATTTCTGATCAAGACTATCAATAAAAAAAATCTTTGATTAATGAATAGGATAAAAACATTCTTCAAATCAATGATAATTATTTTCTCATAATCATTATACACACACATCAGACTTACTGTCATTATAGTCACTAAGTTCGACACGATGCACAAAATTCAAAATATTTTCATTCAATTTCTCTAAAAAATAAAAAATATAAGTTCTCGTTCATTTGCGAGCTAACCCACGATTCAAAAATCCAGTGGGACCAGTGACATTATCATATTTTTATAATACTGAGGTGCAATATGGTGTAAAGTTACAAGGATCCTCTATATTCGTTCATAAATAATAATTCAATGCAACAAGCTAAACTACTTCATATAATAATTACACGTGTTATCCATGATATAATCATTCATATAAAAATTACTGACCTTACACCATGGAGCATTCCAGATAATATACTTATGGTTAAGTCGAAATTTAAGAGCACACAGAGAAGTAGTGTCTCGTGTGCGAAGGCAGATTCCCCCAAAATTATGTCAATGAGATATATTTGAATAATTTTCAATGCTCACCATTGTCTAAGTGGATGTTAAATACACCTCCACACATTTTGTCGAGAGTCGGGGGAGATCCAAGTCGTAACCAGTGGTTGAAGAATTGTTACTATTTTTTAAGGTTTTTTTTTTTTTTTTAATTTTTTTCTTTCTCATAAATATGAAATTTTTCGTAGGCGATGGCTCTCGTAGTCGTAGTAGTAGCAGTAGTAGTAATTGGTCACTGGTGCGTAAGTAATGAACAGTTTTTTTAAGCGCTCTCCGTCACGGTGACCGACACCGGTTGCAACTGCTGCTGCTGATGCTGCTGTTGACCCTGCCCAGCCGAGGAAGCTCCGTCCTGAGACGTCGTGCCGGCCATGGTCGTGGTGGCGGTCGTCACCTGGCCCATCATCGAGCTGTTACTGACTGGTATCGGGAGCGGTCTCAGGGCCTGCATGTCGCAGGCGTGCGAGCCGCGCTTCTTTAGATCCTGAAACAATTTTGGGCATTGTGGAAATATTGTGTCGTATACGTAAAATTACCTCTTCTTTTCAATCTTTTTTTTTGCTCTCAATCACACAGTCGAATTTTTCGCCCATTCGTAACTCATTTTTGACGAATCAAAGTTTTATAATGCGTAATATATGAGTTCTTTGCTCGCATACTTGTTTCCGACAAAATTAAAAACTAAATCCGCTGCAAAGCATAGTTTTACCCTTTTTGATTTTACATTGTAAAAGCGTAATAAAATTCTGTGTCAACAATTTTTACCTATCTAGAAAATTTTGAAAGGAATTTTTCATAATCAGAGATAAACCATGCCAATAGCAGTGCAGTAGTAGCATGAAACGTATTCTAGACTTGAGTAATCTAAAAACGGTAAAACTATGTGCTTTTTTCGTACCCGATAAAAAAATTTATTGAAAAAAATAGCGATGAATTTCGAAAAATTAACTTTTGATTTGACCGAATTCATAATCAATTTTACATCTGAAATACTGTATTCGTTTCAATTTTCAAATTGATCGAGTAATCATTCATACATCATATTCATTCACTAGTTTTTCACTATGCATTCATTTAATTAATCAACCCTCTAAAAATATATTAAAATTAATTTAAAAATGTAATCGGAAATAATTCGCAAGGACAAAAGGATTTCACTGTATTGCATTAAATGCATAATTTAAATTCAAGTGAGGTCCATAATGTCATTGCAAAATAGATAAGTCGTAAGTAATATTCAAAAAAAAAAAAATGATCTTTATAATTTGTAATAATAGTTATACTATTTAATTAATAAGGGAGTTAAATTTTAACTATCAAGTTTATCTACTAATTGTTAAGTCATGCGAAACATTTATATATTCAAGAGTCGGTGTTTTATTATTTAATTTGAAATGAACTACTCTATGATATACTTCTACGATAATTGATTACCAATCTACACAATAATACATAAAATGCAACATTAAAAGCGTAAAATGTATAAATACTGAATGATGAAATTAAATAATGAATGATGTAGTAATACTTATGATATGAGCTGAAACGAATTCAATCCAATTTTCATCTTTTTATAGGTTCATATTAATATCACAATATGCTGTAGATTTTTAATATAATTATCAAAATACTCAGAACTTCAGCCCTAGCAAAAGATAAAAATACAAAATCTAATTTTGACCTACATGAATCGGTGAGAGAGCTCAGATGGAATGATGTTTTTTGATGAGTAAAGCACTAATGTTATATACGTAAGTAATATGCATTGATGAACTAGAGCAAACATGAGGAAATGTTGGCTCAAAATGACGAGATGCCCTGATAGCGCATTATCGTAAAATCGGTGCACAAGCTTGGTTATACAGAAAAGTATCTAGTTCGTAACTAATACATGATGAAAATACTTTCTAAGATAACAGTAAAACTATATTCACAAGAATACATCCTTTTTTTTCTCTTAGTGTCCTTGATAATTTTTTTGTAACAATAATAGTAGTAGGAACGTAGATATATATTGATAATGAATGTAAGCGCAGGCATAGGCTGCAAGTGAAAAAGCGGCTTTCACATTATATTTCATTGTGAAATAAGTTTATGGGATAAGAGGCGTGTGTTTGTATTATAGACACGGTCGAATCCTCGCATTCGCGTAAAAGGATGAGGATTTGCCTCTAAAAGTATCCTTTATTTAGCACTTTTTTCTCTACCAAATGTAAAATAATGGCTAAATTCTTGTTATCTTTAAAAAAAAAGCACTCTCGAATCAGTATAATTATTATTACTTTATACGTAAAAAACACGCAGAAATAATTTCAAGCTTAAAATTGTGCTTTAAACTCGGAATGCGAGAATTTCACCTTGTCCATAATGAGATTCTGTGTAAGACAATAATATAATATTCGCAAATCTCGCACTATTGTAGGTATGCATACTTATTCATAATTCACGTACACTTCGAGAGAGACTTCCTTTTTAGAGCTTCGTTGTCTCCGCATCTCGTGTTTTATAATATTTACTCTCGTATAATATTCTAGAACTATGCGTGCGTCTTCTCTTTGCTCTTTTTTGTCTAATAAACATCTTATGCTACGCACTATGGTATGTCCAGCGTATTTTTCGAGAGCTCTAAGTTTCAAAGTCAGTTGCAGGTTGATGATGTTTTCTATATATGCTTTTTTATTTATCGAAAGCACATTACCACACACATAAAAAACAGTGAAAAACACAGCGTTTATCGAATAGAAGACATTCGTTGTAAATAAAAGCAGTGCCATTACACACAGAGATTTTTTTTTCATATAAACCTATATTCATCATTGTTCGTTTCTATATTGATGTGTGTGCGCGTGTGTGTAGCTGCAAAATCGACACACACATCGTGCTCGCAAAATTATATGCTGTTGGTCAGTGATGTTGCGGTGTATAAGTTGTATTATATGATATAGCGTTTCTAACACTGAGTCGATCTTGTGTAATATGCGTGTTGTGAAAAAAATACAAAATTCTTGCTCAGCCTAATTAATAATATAAGGACAACAGTAAATCATAAACATATGATGCTGAATATAATCTTTCGTAGCGGTAGTAGTAGTAGTAGTAGTATTGGTAGCAATAGAAGTTGTTTTTTTTATGTCTGCTTTTTTGCCTTATTACCTTTGATCTGACTTCGATACGGTCGCCGTAAACGAGCACCACTCTATCCTTGTTTTCAGCCGTGGCGGTCAGTTGGTGAGACATACTCTGTGTACGCCATATCGGCATTTTTGTGAAAATGTGTTTTATTTTCGCCGTCGTCGTCATTTTATTTTTTCATTTTGTTTATTCAACAGCATCGTTGTCGTAGTTGTCGTCGTCGTCAGTGCAATGCGTGTGTCGTCGTCAAGTCACGCCCCCCCAGACACACATTCATCGCAGCCGAGTGAGAGAGATAGGCCGGCAGTTGATAACGATTGGTCGTGGTAGTAGTCCCAATGCAGCAGCAGCAGCAGCATCGTTGTCATCGCATCGTGTCGCACACACACGACGACGTGGGTTGGTTGAGATTTGGAGCAAAATATAGAAGAGAATATTTTTTTTCATTGATTTTTTTTCAAGCTGCTTTTCACTTTCTGCTTCGTAGTATTTTTTTTGTATTTTTAAATTACTTAATTAAAGTTTGTTTTTTTTCTTTCAAACACGACGGCACGTTATATATTATAAAAATGTCACGTCTGTTTATCTGCATGCACGATTATAATCATCACACACCTGCTGGTGTATACAATAATTATCTATTTTGTCGCAGTCAGTCGTCAATTATGTATTATGAGTGCGATGGTATTGCCAAATTTTAATTAAAATTTAGCAGCACTGAGTTATTTGGAACGGAGCTCTGTTCGTTAATATAATTAAATATTATCATAATTATAATCTCATTCTCTGACTGTGGTATGTGTATCTCTTTCTTTTTTCTATATCGTAATGATTGCATTTTATAATATATCTAGATGAATAAGCTATATTTTCTCGCGCTAACAAAGAGTCTCTCATTGCCTGGAGTGAAGGTATATTTTATATCAGCTGATGGTGCACTATATGTGGTATTGGTGGTGTAGTGTGTATACAGCTTTTATATAATGGTATTTTCTCTCTCGCTTACTCCTTTCGCTTTTTTTTCTATATCGTGAGTGAAATTGGCATTGGAAAGCGTGAGAGTGTCAAGCGTGGTGTTTTTTTTTGTTAATACTAAAATTTATTTTCGAAGCGATGGTGTCGACGAGTCGTCTTTATCGTACGCCGTCGTGTGTGACACGTGCACAACAATAACAGTGGCTCTACAACAGTGATTTTTGTCTTTGTTGTCGATGTAGTTGTTGTTGTTGTTGTTGTTGTTGTTGTTGTTGTAGTTGATGTTGTTGTATTAAAGTGCGGTAATTTTTTTGGCTGCTTTTATTTATTAGCGCATTCAAAACGAAGCCTCGACGAGATAGGTGTCGTCGTTGCCGGCGTTAGCGCCCGACGAGCCACCGGCCCCCTGAGATTGGCCAGCTAAGCCGGATTGCGAGGACTGGCCCTGCAACGAGGCCTGCCGCGAGGATCTCGTGGCCGGGATGTATTGATTGTACGCCTGCTGAAAACACCACAACCACAAAAACAAGCACACGCTCGTATACACTTGATGATAGATATAAATTTTGTTTGTTTTTTTTTGTTTTTTGTTGCTCTCTGCATTAATTATAATTTTGTCGATGTTTGTTGTTTTTTTGTATGATGTAGCGATTATTAATTATTATACTATAATATATATCAATGTACTAAATAGTATCTACTGCCTTACTACAAGGCTTCAAAACTACAGTTTTTCAACTAAAATTTATATCTTTTTATGTTTTTTGAATTAATCAATCGATGCTCTAATGATAGTTATCATTGTTAATTACTATTTCTTTAGGTTCTTTTTTCTTATTTATATGCATGATATAGGTTACGCTGAAAATTCAGTCGTACGTTTCGTTTTTTTTTTATCAAAAAACAGTGTCACGCATTTTTAAACGTAAACGTACGACCGAATCGACTATTTATATAAATAATGGTATATGATATGAGAGAGAAAGAGAGAGATAAGCAAGTGAGACGGTACTTTACTGTGATCATATGAGGCAAACGAACCTTTACACTCGCTACAAATTTGCGGATCCTTTTTTACAGCCATTTAAAAAATTTTTGTTTACATGTGTGAATGAATAATAACAATACAAAAGCGTATACAGCATTTTATATTATGTCCAAGCTGGTTATCGGGGGACCAACCCGAGAGTTGATCGTTAGTTGGATTTTTTAATTAAAATTTTTCGTTATTTTACAAAGCAGGATCGATCAGAATTATCTACGTTGTTGTATTGGATGTAGATATTTATACGTGAGGTTGTAGATAAATTAATAACTACCAAAAAGACTCAACGCTATATATTCAACAGTATTTTTTCTTTGATTTGTTCTATTTAATTTTTAGTAATTAATATTCTAAAGTAATGGCCCTTCCTTCGAATTATCTAACACTAAATATTAGCGTATACATGACCAAAACTACGGTTAATATTTGTCTAACGACTATTTTCTATAGTCTATAAACTATAATAGAAACGTCATTAGCTCTCGTTCTTTTCATATCTATAGATGTAACTGTCGTCGTGTTTCAAATAATCAATTCGTCCATGCGTCAGTAAAAAGTCAATGAATCGTTCAATTAAAACTCCCCCCCCAGAAAAATGGCAACGATCCCGGATCGAGCTTCAACCGACCATACATAATTCCCCGCCACACCCCCGATATCACGATTATCCTCCTCGCGATGCAGCAATTTTCGCGCGCCAGCAAATATATAGCACATACGCACGCACGCGAGAGGAGAGTAATATTAAATGCGATTTTAAGCCTTGTGGCTCGCCAATTGACCGCGACTAAATCCTTTGCCTAATTGGCAGTTTCCTAATTTGACGTCTGCCGACGCGCCCCGCCACGTCGCTGTTGCTGCTGCTGCTGCTGCCGCTTCAGCCCACCCTACATCATCATCGTCATCGTATATATCTATCTATTATACATATAGCTCTAGCTCTGTTGCTTCATGCTCTAATTGTCCCGAATATATATATCGTACAGTTGGTAGCAGCGCAGCTCCCCGACACTCGCGAGCGCCGCCCGTTGCAATATTCATAGAGCGTGCGGCTACACAATCATTCGGCTTGCGCGTCAAAGCGTGAGTTGTATTATCTTGGCATTTACTGCGATGCACAGCACTGGCACAGTAGCAGCAGCAGCAGCGGTAGCAGCTCGCTGTATAGTTATATAGGTAGTTTCGGAGCGCGTTTAATATTTAGTTCGAATCGTAAAAGTTGCGGGAAATTCATGTGTCGCGCGAGGAACAAAAGATAAATGCGCGCGCGAGAAAATGAAGCGCGATTCCACAGGTTGTCCATCGTGCGTCTACGGTATACGCAATCGAGAAAAGTTTCGTCCTCGATTATTTTTTCTCCCCGACGATGTTAATGAAAAAATATTATCGTACAAAACACGTATCCATCCGCGCACGCAGAGATACATCCATCGAGGATGAAAGAAGAGAGAAAAAAAGAAAAGAACTGCACGGCTCTAGATGAATTACGTACGACGACTAGGACGATTTTTTTTTTTCACTGACTCATAATTCAATTCAATTCAAGCTCGGGCTATATAGAGCAGCAGCAGCGGCAGCAACGGCAGTCGAGGCCTCGTGCTGCAGCAGCAGCAATTGAATGCCTTCTGCAGTTTTTTTTCTCGCTCTCTATCTTTTCACCCACCCCTCCACTACGTACAGCTAGAGAGAGGTACGTGGACCACTAGGGCGCATTTGCAGCACTGCACTTTTACACGCGAAATCTCGCGCCTCTATAGTTCCATTATTCAAATCAACGCATCCACTACTATTCGCGCTGTGTGTGGGGGTATTTTTTTCTTTATCTCTTTTTTTTTTTCGTTGCAACGGTTAAACATTTTTCTTCTTTGATTCGGGCAAAGTGATGGAAAAAAAACCGTTCCGTAAAGTCGGTGCTGGACTAAAGCGAAAATCAAATCTATCGAGAGATCAAAGGGGAGAATTTTTATACTAAACGTTTACTTTGAATCGACGATGGGATAAGCAGATCAATTTTTAGCCAGGTACTTTTATTTATTTACAAGTTACATTAAAAAATTTCAACAGTTTTGTTTATGGGATTACAGTGGGGGATGATCTTGTTACTTTTTGTTATTTACAGGGACATTATTATTATAAGATTCAACGATTTTTACGACACATTAATTAACAAGGTTTTTAAATGTAGTATAACTGCATTGAACAATTTACTTTTTTCCAGGTGGTAATCTGAAAACTCTAGTGCTCTCGGTGATTGTCCGGCTAAAATTTGAAAGATAAAGGAAATTTTAAGTGAAAAATAAACAGTGGAAGAGAAAAAAATCCAGCTAATCTATCCGATTAGGGAGAAGGTAATGGAGTAAAAAAAGTCATTCAGAAAGGAAGTTAGGAAAGTACACCGAAGAGAGAGAGAGAGAGAGAGAGAGGAACAACAGAAGCTATAACACAAGGGGTAGTTGGGTTGTATAGCTTCGGAGACACTCACGGAGCATTGAAAAATCTCTAGAGCTTTCAGAACCACTACTAGTGTATAATAAGGTTTACGATACAGGTGGGAGGCTAAAGAAGATTGGGGGGGGGGGGGGGGNGGGGGTACTGAGGGGGGTCGACAGGAATGACAGACAATAGAATGAAGAGTAGAGCTGAGAAGAAGTAGAGGGGGATCAAAGTTACATTTAAGATTCGATTCTGTCTCTTGCCTGGCTTCTCGATTGAAGTGGATGCACCGAGTCTGTAACGACAACGACGCCGCTAGTACTACTAATAGCGCCGCCACCGCCGCCGCCCTCCGCCACTCTTGCTGATCGTTTCTGCGCGTGGGCAAATTCGAAATTTTCATCATTTGTTTCAAAATATCATAGCTTGATTTAATTGGTTCAATTTTCCATACAACAGTTACTTTCTTATAGTTGTTTTTTTAAATAAAAATAAATTCTGCCGATAATCCTCGAGCCGTGTGTTCATTCGACAAAGGGTAATTTCGCTGCTCATTTTTACTTTTCATCAAAATCCCCGCGGACGTGTAAGCGTGTGCACGTGGGGGTGACTCGTTTCATCGATCCGTCTGTATTTACCCCTACTTTGAACATGATGATTCGTAAAGATGGATTTTGAATGATATGATTACAAACACTCCGTTCATAGCAGTTCATTTACCCATGCGAAAAATTATTTTTATTCCATGGATTTTTGAACATTGATGCATGAGAAATTTTACAAAGAGTGATATCGATGGATTGATTTTGATTTTAAAACACAGCTTTTCATAGACTTTACACATAAACACCCATATAGACAATAATAGTCAACGATAGCAATGAAAGTTCATATTTCCACATATATTATAATATGTGCATGATACGAAACGAGATTCAATTATATATTCAACATTTAGAAAAACATTTATTTGAATCGTGTAAAAAATGTTGAATTTCCAGAACGATGTGATTATTCTTTTCATTATATTACCGAGTGTAACCAAATTTTTATTTTTGTTGAAATGTTGAGGCATGCAAGCACATTAAACTTCACAAACACGTACACGTCCACAGAGATAGAGTGATATTATTTTACTAGATGTGTGGTTTTAGTTGCAGTTATTTTTTATTTTCATTCTTTTTTTTTTGTTTTATCGTAATCGTAATATGTACACTAAATATACTGCCCTATACATGCAAGTGGTTGGAAAATATAACCCTGCATAGTATGAAAATACCGTGACTGCATTTATATTTCGATTTCGAAAAGTAGTGTCATATCGAGTGGATTAGAGATACCGTACACAAGATGGAAATCAAAATTTTCGAACACCTTGTCCTCGATTTACACCGGATATCTTTCGAAAAAAATTACTTTTTTATTTTGTGATTTAGTAGAAATTCGCGTAGTTTTTTTTGTTGAAAACAATCAGTATTAATCTCGGAAAACGCGTTTGAAAATTTTCATTTTAATCTTGGCTTTCGGCATCCTTTCAGAAAGGAAGAAAAGTTGTTAAATTCCCCGAAAATTATAATGAAAACCGATGTGAAAGTTTAACGTTTGAGTAATTACGAAGGATGCACTATCTCATCGGGTTTTCTCTTTCATTATATTTCAGTTTTTTGCATAGCTCATTTATTTAAGACACTCGGAATACTTTCTATTTTGAAATTAAAAATATATAGCCAAAACTCTTTGTGAAAGTTAAAACAATTTTGGCAAAATTCGTTCTCTTTGCCTGGAAAATTCACGCAACGTTTTCAGAAATTTAGAATTTATAGGAGAGCACGTAAAAAAGTTTTAAAGCTCAAAAAAAGAAAAGATTGTTTGTAACAGTTATTTACGATGATGCTTAAATATCAAAGAGAAGTGCACACAAGAAGTATACGATTTTTTTTAAAGTTTTGCTATGGCCTTTAGTTGGATCCTTCTCGAGAGATTGTGTTTATTTATATCAACATAATAAACAATTTTTCTTTACATTTCCCACGGCTGCGTTTTATTTTTTCATTTTTTTTATTCGCAACTTTTCTAAGCGCGTAAACTCCGCGACTTCTTTGAACACATTTCTTTTACAAGAATCTCTATCGTATAGGCCGTATAATATAATGAGCGTATTTCCTTCTTTATCCTTACAACTTTGGCGATATAGATTTTGTATGTTTGTCTTTAACAACGTCGTATCGATCTCTATACATCTTTTTTACAGAGCAATAACGCATGGCAGTCACCGAAAAAATAAATTGGATATTTGGAAGAAATTGAAAAATTACATTGAGTAATGTGGGAGGTGAAAAAACGCGAGCCATGTTACGCACGCGAGAAGGAAAATTTGTTAAATCTATCAAGGCGTGTGAAATAAATATACTTTCGAGCCCAGAAATATACAGGAAAAATGATCGATATTTTTTTTAATTAGATTTTCGTTTGAGCAAAATTTACGCATGATTCGATACTGAGATTCTTCCTTAAACGTAATTAATATGCTGATTTACTTCATATTTTTCTTTTTAAATTACATTTTCAGTCGTCGAATATACATTATAAATAAAGTACCTAATTTTTTTTTATTTTATTTACAAAATTTATCGTCATAGCGCTACGCGCACGACACTGTATACCTCTGATTTTTACTTTATTTCTCAATAAATCTAAATGATTAAAATTTATTTTAAAATTTTTAAATCAACGATCACTTGTTTTAATTACCCTTTTTTTTAAATCATTTTCGCTCGACAGCACCTATGGGAAATTGATGCTCAAGACGATGGCTTAAGATGATACATGTATTCATTTTAGTTAGTTTCTTTTTGTTTCGTTAAGATTCTGATGATCGATTGATTAGGCGAGAGATAGATGAAGAAATCATATTGGTGTTGACCATCGATTCACCGTCAAGTTTTTGGACAATTTGTTTTTTTTTTCTTTCTTTTTTTTCGACCAATTATCCACATAGTTGATACTTGACACCAATAACTTTCAAGCGAAGCATTTTTTACAAATGCTAAATCAACTTGAAACTATACATCGAAGAGAAGTTCAATGAATGTTTTTTTTGTTAATTTTCACTCTACAATCACATATTCTGTTAGTTCTATAATTTTAAATCAATATTTCTGGGTGTATGAAATATTGAGAGAGAAAAAAACATTTCACGAGCTTGCAATTTCAATCAAACATTTCTTTTTTTTTGTTTCAATAAATTTATTAATATCGGTGGATCGACGATATAGCGCAGGTGCCAAACGATTTCATATGTTTTCATCATTTCTTTCGGCGAAATGTTTTTTTTTTTTTATTTATTTAACGCTTTCAACGAGACGCGCGAATCGCTTACTCGGCTAACTTTTTTTTTGGAAGAATAAGATATAGAGTAATATTTATACGATAAAAATTAATCTTCTAAAAAATAAATTTTTATAGGAAGGAAGTATCCTCGCGTTTGGTAATCAAAGGGATGAGAGAAATTCAAGTAGCTTGTAAGATTTTTTTTCTTTTTCAATGGAAGACAAAGGGCAGATGGGAATTTATACAGTATTTTCACTGTTTTTTTTACTTCTAATCCTACGAACTTACTAATATACTTACACGCACACACGAGTGTCCTATTCACTTTTTTTTACCCTTCTATTTACGAATTATTTTTTATTTGTATTTAATGATCCGTCATAATATAAATTTTTTGTGCTCTTAATTTCCATATACCTATTATAAAATCTATTTATACATTTTACGTTCGTATTCGTATCACAAAACACGATTGATCAATAAAATTTTCTCTATTAATTAACAGTAAAAGGTTTAATAGAGGTAGATTCATAGTATTATAAATACTATATTTGAAGAGCCTTCGTGATCTTGGAACTACTTCATTATTTCGTTTCAAAAAGTGGCAAAGAATATCCATTTGTGCAATAAATGCAGACCATTCATTTCGCTGCTTGTGCTATCTATATATATGAAAAGCAGAGCTCTCCCCGACACAAAATATCTACACAAATATGACCTAATTACGAAAAATTCGAACGATTCACCGGTTGTATATTAATAGGATTTATGACAACATCTACAACTCAAGCTTACCCTAGTAAAACTTGGTCGTGCCACGCTCGCTCCGCTCCGGAGAAAAAGTGATATACATATAAAGGCGAGAGAAGAGTAGAGAAGAGAAAGAGGGAGAGTTTTATCGATGACGTGCTCTTGTGCCCGCTCGCGCGCTTCAAAGCTTTGAAATTTTGCATAAAATACCCTCTCCTCTCTCTCGCTCGCCGATACGGTATACAGCGGAGCTATGACATCAAATTAGCTCGTCAATGAAATTTTAATATTTCCAGACTCGCAGCGGCGACGAAAAGAAACTATATACAGGCGATTCACGAAAAAAACTTTTTTAACGAGTGGTTCAATTAAAGAAAGGAGAAGAGAGAGAGAGAGAAATTGAAATTACTTTGGAATTGAATTCGCCGAACATTTCGCAAGTGAACAATCAATCCACGCGCATTGACGAAGCTGAGGGGGTTGAAGACAAAAAGAAAGGAACGAAGTAAAGAATTTTCTCTATTCGATGTCGTTGGGTCGCGCTGAAATGTCAAAAAATATTACGAATTTCGCCAGAGCACTTAATCGATTTGAGGTCACAATTTGTCAGGTTTGATCTATCGATTATATCAGCTTAGCATCGTAAGCAATTTTGTTCTCGGCCGCCTAAATAATAGACTCTACTGCTATGTTGGAGGGGGGGTGGGAAGTGCTGCCACCGCCACTGCCGCTGGGCGAGATAGTTAAGCCTCTTTTGATACAGTGAGTGAGTGAGAGCAGCGACCGAGGCTCGAGCTTTTTAAAATTGTTTTCGCGCTGCAGCTACGTGTATACGTCGATCGAATGTTGCACGGGAAATGACGAATGTTCCCCCCGCGCGCTTTCGCTCTCGGTACACGAGAGTCATTCGAAATCTCTACGTTGATGAATTTCCGTAGATAAAAAATAAAAAAGAAATTAAAAAGTTCGTACCCGATATTTACACCTGCGATGCATTGATTTTCTCTCGTTGCCCTACTGACGTACTACTACTACTACTACTACCACTACGTTCGTAAATATGTAATTTATTCGTAGTCGGGTTCCTCGTACATGCGAGAGGTGCCCTGCGATGAAGAAGATAATAAAAAAAGGGCAAACTAAATCGAGTATACCCTTTGGCACTGTAATATAGTTTGCGAAACTTTTAGTCTCGATTAAAAAGTCTTTTAGAAATTATTTCAGCGCTGTAACAAAGATAAAAAAGTGTAATGCGGGAGGGGGTGGGGCCTTTTAATTATTGAAAACCAATTAACTATGGCTCTATTACAAGAGTTAAGTTCCAAGATCACGAGGTAATAATGAGTAACTTTATATACAGAAAATATATGATATATATATCATTTTGTCTAGAGTAGTTTCGATCATATAAGAAGAGCCCTGAAAAAATAGTAAAACCAAAGAATTCGAAAAATATCTCGATTGTGCGCAATACAATATGGACTTTCAACTAATTATATCATACGACGATTTTTCCCTCGAATCTACGACTCGAATATAAATGAAAAATCTAAAACTGTATAAGATTCGAGTTGTTGTCGTTTGCGCGTAAAATCTACAAAGATTAATCGATTATTTTAACATTCCGTTCGTTTATTTATACTCGTTTATTTATCATTTATGTACAAGTCTCTCTCTATTTATAAATGCCTAATTTTAATCGATAATTACTATTATTTTCATTAACGCGCTGTGTGTGTGTATTTCAGTCGAGCACCTATCGATATACAAAAATTTTCTTTCTTTTTTTCGCGTTGAATGTTTTTACATTTGGATAAAAACGAGGCGGGGGGTTCAAGGAAGAGAAGAGATTATTTGGCACCGTCTCTGTATGCGTGCACCTTATAACTCGCGTACGCGACACGTTTCGGAGCTTATCATCGTCGTTTATATATTATACGTGATACATAATATAACGGGAGGCAAATACGCTCGACGACGACGACGACGACGGAGAAGCGAAGAAGATAAATACGTGGAATACTTCGTGTCGTTAGCAGTAGCGAAGCATTTCACGTATGCCACCACCAACATCGCCAAACACATCAAGGCGCGCACGTTACAATAATAATACAACGTGTACACGCGCGAGTGATGCGTTCGACGTATTAAAGCGCAAATATTTTAATACATAAGCACGTTAGACGCGCGTCTCGTTGAACGAGCTCGACGAGGCAAGCTTGGAGGACGCGGAGGCGCTGGCCGTCAAGCCGTGAGCCGCCGAGCTCGTGCTCGGTCCGCCTCCGCCGGTCCCAGCTTGGTCCCCCGACGCGCTCAGACCGCGAAAAGCGACGCTGGGCACCTGCGCCGGATCGTCCTCGGCTCCGGAGCCGTGTCCACCGCCGCCACCGTCGTGGCCCGAGGAGGTGCCGCCCAGCAGGGCCTTGCTCTGCTGCTGGGCCGACTCGCTTATCGAGCCCGTGGAGGCTAGTATGCCGCGGCGACCGCGTACCTGGTAACGTTGGGGATAGCAGCGACCGCAGCAGGACTGCAGCAGGCCCGTGGCGACGCCCCGCGACGCGGTGCTGTGCGCCGGCGAGGTGAGCGGCGACGGCGAGCCGGGCCGCTTGGGCGCCCCGTTGAACGGCACCTCCATCTCGACGAATTCTCGATCCTGCGGACAGAAAGAGAGAAAAATCTATTGAATTTCGGTCATTATATAAGATACGAGTTATATGTATAGTGTATATATATATATATATAAGGTCCGGCCACCGATAAATTTCATTTCCGTCGTCCGTTTTTTCGAGCGACGAAGACTTTCATGGCTCTCTCCTCCTAGCTCGTCGTCGTGTCAAGGCGTAAAAATGTCTTCTGCTCTACTTCCTCGATTGAGCTACATTATTCTTCGCCCACTGGCGCACAATGTAAGTACGTACGTGTGTGTGTATATATATAGAAACGAGCGAACTAGCTCTAGCAGTAAAACAAAAAGCCTCGAGAGTAAATCGAGCTATTCCTCGAGAGGAGAGGAGCGCGCGAACCCTGGTGTGATGTGTATGTGTGTACGTACGCTCGGGAGTATTTCATCTCTCTCTCTCTCTCTCTCTCTCTTTCGGCTACCTTGGCTTGCACACACAGTCAGTATAGTGGCACAGTCAGTCGAGTAAACTCACAACGCAAAAATTTTCAGCTCGCTTTTCACCAACTCGTATAGTAGGAGCTTTTTCTGCGCTGCTGCTGCTGCTGCTGCTCGTGTCCTTTTTACGCGCCGAGCATTCACACACACAAACACACTGACCAGGTGCTGCTGGACTTTGGGTATTTTATAGGTGTATGTGTGTTTATACATAAACTTGGGAGAGCTGCGTTTGCAAATCCCGACAGAGTGTTTGTGTGTATATATTTCGGGAAAACACATATTACAATCAGGTTTATACGCTCGTTTAACTGGCAGCAGCAGCAGCAGCTTTGAAGTGGTTTCGCGCGCGCCCGATCCGCATAGAGATGGTTATGGAAGTTTTGAAGGGTGTTTACAAACGACGAGGGGGTGGAGGGTGCGATTTGAGAATTATATAATACGCGTCGGTCGAATGTCTGGTTCAAAAATATATTACATAAGGGCCGCATTATTATTATTATTATTATTATTATTATTATTATTATTATTATTACGATTTTTGGGATGTCCAGGGCGAAAAAAACGCGCAGAGCTGCTAGAGAAACTATTTTTCGAACACATTTCGTGTCGAGTCTGTGCTGCCGCTATTGCTGCTCTGGTGCAGGAGGAGCACAGTTGGCGAAAGCTGTCGTGGCTATACGTACGATTCCGAAAGAGTAAATTTCTTTTTGAAAAAAAAAAAAAAAAAAAAAAAAAATACCCGCTGCACATCTGCAATGCAGTAGCAGGGAGCGAGCAATTTACATTCATCATCTGCACTGTAAGCTTCTGCTGCTGGTCTATGCGCGCGAGCGTAAAATAGGGGAAAAAAATTTATCAATATAGTATATGTTTAAGCCCGCGTTATTAAAATGATAGATATAATATATTTTTTATTTGTACAATGGAGCTAGGGAGTATAAAAGATCAAGCTGGGTATTAAATGTGGGGAGGGGACTTTACGAGATTGCAGTATGTATACGTTCAGCAGAGTAATATCGTACAAGAGGTGAAATCAATGTGAATATATAACTTCTTTTGCGAGTACGCGATGAAAATCTGCGCGAGATAAATAGAGAGAGAGAGAGAGAGAAAAGGTGAGAGGGAGAGAAATAAATAGATTCAACAGCGAGAATATATATAAAGCGAGAGAAAGCCCAAATCTTCTCTCGGCTTTGCCTGCCGCCGAGTCCTCTGGCACGAGACCAAGTTTCTCCCTAACTTCGTTTCAATTAACCAGAATTTACACGCCTTGTGTGTATGTGTGTGTGTGTGTGTGTGTGCTATATATAATACAGTCGTGCTGCGCAGTGGAAACATGGAAATTAATTTTCTATATGTTTCATCGCACCGCCCTTTACCTGGGCCGTGTTTTGTGCGAGTGTATGTATACATATGGCAAACAAAAATTTCAACCTACGTCAGAGCAACACACACACACACACACACACACACACACACACACACACACACACANAAAAAAAAAAAAAAAAAAAAAAAAAAAAAAAAAAAAAAAAAAAAAAAAAAAAAAAAAAAAAAAAAAAAAAAAAAAAAAAAAAAAAAAAAAAAAAAAAAAAAAAAAAAAAAAAAAAAAAAAAAAAAAAAAAAAAAAAAAAAAAAAAAAAAAAAAAAAAAAAAAAAAAAAAAAAAAAAAAAAAAAAAAAAAAAAAAAAAAAAAAAAAAAAAAAAAAAAAAAAAAAAAAAAAAAAAAAAAAAAAAAAAAAAAAAAAAAAAAAAAAAAAAAAAAAAAAAAAAAAAAAAAAAAAAAAAAAAAAAAAAAAAAAAAAAAAAAAAAAAAAAAAAAAAAAAAAAAAAAAAAAAAAAAAAAAAAAAAAAAAAAAAAAAAAAAAAAAAAAAAAAAAAAAAAAAAAAAAAAAAAAAAAAAAAAAAAAAAAAAAAAAAAAAAAAAAAAAAAAAAAAAAAAAAAAAAAAAAAAAAAAAAAAAAAAAAAAAAAAAAAAAAAAAAAAAAAAAAAAAAAAAAAAAAAAAAAAAAAAAAAAAAAAAAAAAAAAAAAAAAAAAAAAAAAAAAAAAAAAAAAAAAAAAAAAAAAAAAAAAAAAAAAAAAAAAAAAAAAAAAAAAAAAAAAAAAAAAAAAAAAAAAAAAAAAAAAAAAAAAAAAAAAAAAAAAAAAAAAAAAAAAAAAAAAAAAAAAAAAAAAAAAAAAAAAAAAAAAAAAAAAAAAAAAAAAAAAAAAAAAAAAAAAAAAAAAAAAAAAAAAAAAAAAAAAAAAAAAAAAAAAAAAAAAAAAAAAAAAAAAAAAAAAAAAAAAAAAAAAAAAAAAAAAAAAAAAAAAAAAAAAAAAAAAAAAAAAAAAAAAAAAAACACACACGCACACATATATATATAACAGGTGGAAATTTGAACCAGATATAGGCGAGCGAACTTCATTTTTTTTCACTCTCGCTTTGAACTACAGCTGTCATACGCAGGAAAAAAGCGCAAAATCTTCATACCCAGCTCGACACGTTATTTAACGCGTTATGCGCAGGTTGTCGCTCGTGCTCCACGTCTGATAATCGTCCGATATCGCTGAAGAGGTAATTAATATGAGTTTCTTTTGAGATCGAGATTAATTTTTAGAGTTTCGCGTACAAAATAAATAAGCAAAAGTTGACGCACATGTCGAGCAAATTACTACTAAACAGCGAATGCAACAAAGGGAACTCTAAGTTGAGTTAATTGTTTTTGGTGAGTTCGCTGCTTTTGACGTGGGGGGTTCTTCTGTTTCAAAAATATTTTTTGCAATTTTTTCCACGCGATCGACGTTCAGTCACGAGCTGGAGAGATTTTTCGACGATGCGCTTGTGACGTGGGATAGACGCGTGTGCGATACACGAAAAAAAGGTTGAAAGACTTTATCTACGTGCGCATTCAGGACGATTATAATGGGCTCGTAATTAAATGCAACGGTAAGGCGCTTTTTTGAGCTTTCGAATAATACACTATATACAGTATCCGTTCTCCGCGTAAATAACAGCTGTTGAAAAAATGCAAAGAATTAAAGCTAACAACTGCAGCACGGGGCGGAGGCGCAAAGGGCTTACCGGCGTTGGAATCACAAACGAAAAAAAAAAAAGGAGAAAAAAAAAATAAGCGAGCTTCGCCCAGGGTCTGTATATATACAGAAAGAGAGAGAGAGAGAGAGAGAAGGCCCGAGAGAACTATAATTGCATTTCAGCTAGCTGGAAAAAGTTTTAAAGTGTAGCAAAAGAGAGGGAGAAAGTCATCCCTGAGAAGAATCGTTTGAAGTTTTTTTACACAAACACACGCTCACCCACATACACACATAGATGCACACACGTCGAAGCTCGAGGAAAGAAAAACTCTTTTCAATTGACGAAATAGAAGCGAGAGAGAGAAGGCAAAAAAAAACTACCAAGACCCAATCTATCAGCCATACATTTGGCCTCTCTCCGCTCCCGCCGCTCGCAGCTGCACACACGACGGTGTGCGGCTGCCGTATGTATTTGCCGAATGAATGTATGATACGAACAGCGCGCAACGAGAGAGGGTGTTCTCTCGCATCAGCAGCAGCAGTAGCAGAGCTCGCCGAACTAGGCCACAAGTGAATTCGGATTAAAGCAGCAGCCGCCACCACCGCTGCTGCTGCTGCTGTGCAAGTTTTCAGTGGCTAAATTGCAATCGTCGTCACAGCTCGTCGGCGCGCGGGCGGGGGAATAATGCTCAAACGCTTTCGGGTGTGTGTATGCACGCGCGTCGAGCTGCGTAGCTGCGCACCTGATTGCAACTGCCTCTCTCTTTTTCTCTTAAAAAATAAAAAAAATAAAAAATAAAAATATATATATGAAGTTGAAAATTTTTATAGCTTATTGAAATTTCGAAACGAGAAAGAAAATAAAAGAAAATAATAATCACGACGATGACGATAAAGCTCCCTGTCGCCCGCGACTAATTCATACAGCTCTGCTGCAGCGCTGCGAGCGAGAGAGAAACGTGAATCGCATGATGATAAAGCGGAGAGCGCGGCCAAGATAGGCCACACAGCAGTGATTCGCGATTAAGATTTTTCTCGCAGTAGCGCCCCATTACCGCCGCCGCCGCCGCTACTACTGGCTATCAAAAGTACTATACCAGTTTCTTTCCGGCTGCGACACTAATGGTACACACACACACACATATATATGGTAGAGGGGTCGGGGGTGGCCTATGGCAGTGGTCGTCGCTGCCGCCGCGTGCACGCTCGGCTAAGCAGAATTTATGCCTTGTGGCAATGACTCGCAATGCACACGTACGCTGCAGCAGCAGACCCATATCTATCTATCTATATACAGTTAAATAGTACGGAGCAGCCGTTATAACTGCCGTACATGTGCGCGCATGCATATGTGTTAGTGTGTGTGTGTGAGCGAGGCCGTAAATCGATTTAAAAAGAGCCATATACGCGCGGCCAGGCGGAGTGGCAAATTATTATTATTAGCGCGAGATACGTTTAGATGTATGCGACGATAAAACGCCATTGACGATCGCACATCTCCGTATATAATAATTCCCG